TTTATTTGAAGAGTCTGGGGCTGCGCTACTTCCTTTTCATTTATCCTTTTTTAATGACTTTTTGCCATGCAAATAATAAGCCAAGTGAGTTCCATGTAATGTTTTATTTTCGTTCTCATTGTTTAGGATTTAAAACTAACAAAGCTGTAAAGTATCAATTTCGCGACGAAATAAGAAATTCGAATGTCATTTTATTGCTTATTCCCGTATTTAAAAACTTAATAAAGTCAAGTAATTTAAAATTTTTTTCTGCATTACAACCTTTTGATTTGTGCTTCTTTTTTTGCACTTCTCAAACATTATGCTTAGAATATGAAATATCACTCAGTTTTGACTTGTTTATTTCTTTGTTAGCGATTGTTCATAAGACAAAGTGGAAAACATGTGTTTTTATATGACATACAACAAATGAGCGGGACATTGCAGAAATATTTAAAGCTTTTCAAGTCTTGAAGCAACATTTCAAGAAAATATTATGATGAAAACACACAAATGATGCTGAACTGACATATGGAAAATAAAATAAAAATTGGATTTGACTAATGTTAGAAATGATCAAGTGTCTTTAATATGTATCCATACTTAAATCTCTTACTGATAAGAAAAAATTATCATACCTTGATCTTCCGCTGATAAAATCATACTTATCAGTGAAACCACAAAAGTTCGTCCTTTATGATGCATCAGAATGACCACAAAATTCCCATACTGATAAATTATCTGTTCTAAAAAACAATTTTTACAATGTTTTCTAATCATTGATATTTTCAGTGTGTGGTATCCGGAGCAGACAATTTGAAACATAAAATGGTGGCGCATTCGTGCCTCGAGAACACATAAGCAGGATGGTTAGAACGATATCCCTAATTATGCATCTGACTCGATCAAAAGGACATCAAACTCATCAAAGCTCCTTCTAAGTTTTTGTGCTCATTGTGGCCAATATTTCCTAATACAGTCCGAATTTACAGCTGCACAGAAAACAGCAGCAGTGGGAATTCATGCCCTCGATTAATATTCGAGGACATGTGCGGCCGTAATCAACGAAATACAGACAAAGCGTCACAGACTAGATTTTGTGGAGAGAGAAGAGGATTTCAATCTCTTCGTTCCAGATAGGAAATCAATTATATTTGAGAAGTGAGATTTGAAAAGAAGTAAGAAAAAAATGTTCGAATTGTTATGGAAAATAAATCATTCATAAAGTCGATCTCGTAGTTTTCCTAATCACCGAATTTTTTTTTCAGACCATTGATACTACTCAGCTTCTTTCACGCGGCCGTGCTTTTGCTGCCTGCTCCAGTTCTCCATCCTCTATTCAATGAAATACGTCCAAGCCGGTTAGCAGAATTCAAAAAAATATAATAAAAATTGAAAAAAGAAAAATCAAAGAAAAAGTTTGGGAAAAGGAAGTACATTAATTCAAGGAACTCGTTTTTAGCCAAAAAATAGTTGTCGCTACTGAACTGTTTATCCAGTAACCAAAATCAAATCATCTTAAAGCATTGTAATCATTAGCAAAAACAACTTAATAAAACTAACAAACCAAAACCTAACTCTCCATAGCAAAGCCGGTGAAATCGAAAATAAGAATAGCGTAAAACTACAAGCAAACAACTGAATAAGTAAATCAATTTTTTGATTTTATGTAAGGTTTTGATTTTATGCGAGTTTTGTGATAGTTAAGAAAAGTTCTCTTTACAAGTTTCTTGATCTTAACTACAGCATTAAAAGAGATTTCATATGGAAGTGGCAACAAATTAGCTACAAAATCTCTAAATTGTTTTACTTTCTTTTCCCAAACTTTGAATTCGGTTCTTTTCACATTTAAAGTTGTTTCAAATAACGGGAAGAAATTTTTTGTTCCCATGTTTTCCAAATTCATTTTTTCTTAGCGATTTTTTGTTCTTTTGGTTCTTTCACTTCTTTTAATTTTTTTTTTTGATTTTAACTTTTCCTTTTTTTCAATTTTTATTTTATTTTTTTGAATTCTGCTAATCCGCTTGGACGTATTTCATTGGATAGAGGATGGAGAGCTGGAACAGGCAGCAAAAGCATGGCCGCGTGAAAGAGGTTGAGTAGTATCAATGGTCTGAAAAAAAAAATTCGCTGATTACGAAAACTACGAGATCGACTTTATGAATGATTTATTTTCCATAACAATTCGAACATTTTTTTCTTACTTCTTTTCAAATCTCACTTCTCAAATATAATTGATTTCCTATCTGGAACGAAGAGATTGAAATCCTCTTCTCTCTCCACAAAATCTAGTCTGTGACGCTTTGCCTGTATTTCGTTGATTACGACCGCACATGTCTTCGAATATTAATCGAGGGCATGAATTCCCACTGCTGCTGTTTTCTGTGCAGCTGTAAATTCGGACTGTATTAGGAAATATTGGCCACAATGAGCACAAAAACTTAGAAGGAGCTTTGATGAGTTTGATGTCCTTTTGATCGAGTCAAATTCATAACTAGGAATATCGTTTTAACCATCCTGCTTATGTGTTCTCGAGACACGAATGCGTCACCATTTTAGTATTTCAAACTATCTGTTCCAGATACCACACACTGAAAATATCAAAGATTAGGAAATATTCAAAAACTGTTTGTCAGAACAGATAGTTTATCAGTATGGAGCTTTTGTGACGTTTTGAGGTATCATAAAGGAAGAACTTTTGTGATTTCATTGACAAATATGATTTTATCAGCGGAGATCAAAGTATGACAATTTCCTTCGCCAGATTATAGACATCACCATTTCAAATATTACTAAAATTATGAATTACCGATGTCGTTGTTTTTTCTACTGGAACCACCGTGTTTGGGGCACTCGCAGCTCCTTTCGGAATCTTTCCGGAAAATATGCGGGGGCTGAATCTCTAAACATGCGGGGCTGAATACTTCCGGCTTTGCTGAAGGTCTGTGTGATTCTGATCGCCCTCGACTCTGAAATAAGTTTAAATTTAGTGTATGTTATTTGGCCACTTCTTGTAGCAGTTAAAGCTAATACCTGTTCTATTACTTTGATATACATTTATTGCATGCCAACGCTGTCTGAGCAAAGGAATTTTGAAATATGGCAGCAAAGAAATTTTGACTGCCCTCGATCTCCTGAAATAAGCTTAAATTTAGCGTAAATTATTTAACCTTTTTTAAAAAGACCTGTTCCAACTGTTACTCTACCTCAAATTTTTTTTTAAGAAAACCCGTTTTAACTGTCACTCTATTTGGGGTTCTTCGTTCGATAACAAGGTCCACTCTGCTCCGGATGACCAATCCTTGGTCTCATATCATTACACGAAGATGTAATAATTAAAATTAATACTTGCTGTAACTGTCACTCTGATAGACATTGATATACATGTAACTCTCACTCCGATATACTTTGCTAAAATTAAAACTCACGGAACAAGCTTACAAACTGATTCTGTCGGTTCTTTAATATCTTTTGTACCCAATGACTCCACCAGTATCTCAGGTCTTTCTTCATCGTTCGATAACAAGACCCACTCCGCTCCAAATGACCAATTCCTGGCATCCTCAGAAAGAAGAATCCATCTCACCCTTTCGCCGTCAAATCCAAATCCTGGCCTCCTCTCCACTTATCCCCACCTCCTCCCAGTGAATTAAGAACAGATTTTCAAATTGAAAAGACTACGTTCTCACAGAGTTTTTTTTTAAATTTTAAATTTTTTTTAAATTTTTAAATTTTAAATTTAAATTTTTTTTTAAATTAAATTTTTTAAATTTTTTTCTGCAACCCTTACTTCCCACCGCTGTCAATTCATGATATAAAAAAGGAAAAAAGGAAGATGAAGTAAATATTGTTCTGTTTCGTTCTTTATTCCTGTAATTATGCACGAAGCATTACAGGCACCCTTTCCAAATAATCCAAATTTTGTCAATATATTTCTGCATAAAAAATGGATTTTTTCTTGTCTTTTGATTAATGCAGATTTCTATTTATTTTTTAAATTAAATGAATAATGAATATCCAAGTTGGCATTTGCATATCGCAGTCGAATTATAGGATTTATCCAATATCATAGTAGAATTATCGGATTTGTCTACTTCAAGATAGCAGTAACATCGATGATTTCAAATGACTTCTAAATTGCATCTTCAGCAACAACGCACGTGCACATTTGTTGTGCATCATTTTTTTGAATATATTCAGATATATTTGCAGTGCAAATCATGCAATTTTTCATTTTGGTTTATATGCCTGAATTTAATGATTTTTTTGAAAAACGTTTAACAATTGGGCGTTGAGACCAGTGAGTTTGCACTGTTAAGGAAAGAAGGACTTTTCCTTCTTTGGTTAAAATTTCCGATTGTTATTTGACGGTACCATATTCTACGGTTATTCTTAATAATATTACTTTAATCTATTTTTAATTCTTTAATCTATTTTTAATTAATTAAATTTATGAAATTTAAATTCGACAATACCCAATTCAGCAAGCGTTAAGTATAGTATACGCAGTGGTGAATAAGAAAACTGAAACAAATGTTGCACATATCATTGGTAGTTTATAAACTAAATTGATAGGTTTGTAAAAAATTCATTGGATAGTTAGTTGCTAACTATATTTTAGCCCATTTACTGCCTTCCCATTCGTTATTTTTCGTTTCCGGACCAGTTTTTCACTTTTCGCCTTCCTTTATTTTACCTGAATCGTATTCAAAAGGAAATGGTTGCCGCTAAAAGTCTTCAGAAGAATGCTGGTTGCTTATACAGAATTACGCTACATGTATCGAAACAAGGAGTTCATTCCAGAAGCTACGGAAGTACGTAAAGGTAAAATTTAATTGGCAGTTCAGCAATGTTCGGAAAATTCAAAACTTTCAGTAAGTTTACAGGATTTTTTATATGGATCAAAGTTATTAATGGATTCTTTGTGATTCGAGTCATTCTAGCAAAAAAGCTATTTTTTTCCTATTCTTGGCATAAAATCCTTTTGGTCGTAAATGATTGTAAAGGCATTTTTACATTTAGAAAGAAGAATGTAATCCATCAAATTGTAGGGCATCTTGAAGGCAATTTTAATTAAGCAACCATTACTTTATTCTTACTGACAGGATTGACATGTTTCGACTCTATTCCTGCGGAAAATCTCATTTCCTTTGATTTTCACAAAAACAAATTATTACTTTTGGATGCTAAAAATGCAATGCATATTTCATATGATGCAATCAGAACAGAAAGGAAAGTAACCAACGAGAATTTTACGTCATGCTCAAACGTTCACTTTAAGAACTGATACATGATATCAAACTAGACTAATAATTTCAGAATAGGCTTACGGACAATTTTTTTTTCATCAAATTTCGATTTTTCCCTGATCTAAATTCAAGAAAAATTGTGACTCAAAACTTAAAATATTTGTTTGCTTGCATGTTAAAATGTGCACTCATCCTTCCAAGATTCATTCCAAATTAATAATTGTTGTTGGATTTCACTTTGCTTTCAATATTCATGATTTGATATCGAAATTCAAACTTCCGTTGCCCTTATTTTTTCAATTCTACAGGATTATGCCAACAAACAAAATGGATCTATTCGAACTTTTCAAAAACTCATTATAATAAACTGGTTTATGAAAGATTTTAATGAAAAAGTGATTGCATCTTATGATTTGCATGACCTCTTGTGAACTGTTTGAAAACTCAGCCCAGCACATTATCAAATTCTATTGTTTGTTTTTTTCATCCTCCCTCTCACTTCGTTTTCTACATTTTTGCTATTTTTAATTATTTTTATTAATTTCTATTTAGTTTTCTTTATTTCTATTTATTTTTGTTTGTTTTTATTTATCTTATCCATTCTTACTCATTTCTATTTATTTCTACTTATTTTTATTTATTTTCATTTATTTTAATTTGTTTTTATTCATTTTTACTTATTTTTATTCATTTTCATTCATCTTTTTTTGTTGCAAAATTTTTACGTTTAGTTATATGGAAGGAAATGGATTGTAGTGACCTTTTTCATAAGTATGCTATCGCCTTAACAGAAAACTTTTTGTTACCTGAACGTCTCGACCCGTTACCCATGTATCTGTTCCTATCGCCGGTAAATCAATCAACTTCATCAATCGTCAGATGTGTAAACGTTCACTTATTTTTCGATACTTGTTCATGTCACACATAATTTAAAGGGACAGTCAGCAATGGCATTGAAAATTTATAAAAATAATTATCCGGTCCTCAAATTCTTTACATCTCACTTTTCAAATTATGTAAAATCATCTTTCTATTGTGCATTAGACACTTGAGAGTGCATCAAATCGATACTTAAATTGTATTCATTTGCAAATTCAATATCTTAAACTGAACTGAAATTGTCTTTAGTTGTAATTTTCCAGTTCTTTTTTTAGTGGTAGTTTTCTTAAATTACAAAATTTTTGATATCATAAACAATGAGTCATATCGATTGTTTATAATGTCAAAAAATTCAATTCAACAGTTCGATAAGCTATGAATAATTTCAATAGAGAATAATAACTGTCTATCTTCTTATGTCATTGTTGCTAAAGTGTTTGTCGCAAAGTTAGGTGACATCTTCTGTTACCATTTCTATTTGCTGTTTCTAAATTTATGTGCCATATATATTGTATATTATTTGCACAGTGTGTACATTACTTCGTTATATTTACTTCATATCCTTTTGTATGCATATTTTCACATTTTGAGATTTTATTACGCCTGACAACTATAATTGAAACATACTGTATTTTAAAAGGTTGAAAGGTTTAAAAAACACAAGTTATCATTTCCATTCAGGATACGATACTTTTATGGTAATTAAGCATTTCACGAAATAGGTATAATAGCCAATCACTTTTAATAAGGGAATGAAATAAGTAGGATTAAAATATTTCAGAATTATTACATCTTATTGCATACTACTTTGATAGTATGGTTCCTACGAGCTTCTGCTCTTTAATTTCCGGAATTAATCTTTATTAAAACGTCATTCTTACTTTCTAATTACAAAATTTTCGGCCAAAGATCAACAATAATTTTAAAGAAAAATTGTTTGGTTGCTAAATATCATTTTTCATTTTTCATCTTTCATTACTACTAATTTACTTTAATATATTTTATTATTGACTCGTAACTATACTCTATTCGATCAACGTTACCAATGATTCGTTAGGATCCAGTTCTTCTGATGCACAACGATGGAACCAATGGCTCATTACTACTTCTCTTTTTCACATTTTTCTGTTGAATATAATACCTTGGCTGGAATAGATTTCATAAATTTCGTAAATTGAATTTAATGTTTGAATTGAATTTTCGCCATCTATTCCTATCTTTCTTTTTTTTTTTGCTCCATTTCGCTGTTACAATTATAATTATAAGTGATGTATATGTGGGAACCTTTATTAATTTCCAAAATTAATCTTTATTAAAACGTTATCCTTCACCTTTACTGTTCATACAGATTTACACCTTGAAAAGGTTTTTAGAAAAAGTAATTAGAAACTGCCTTTTAATTAGGCCATTTGTCTGTATGCTAAAGTAATTGTACAAGCAGCGATAGTGTTATGTACTTTATAGTAATCCGAATTTTTTTCTACGTCATCCATCAAATTCCAATTCACTGATTCCACAAACATGATCAGTCAGAAATTGCTCCGGAAGAAGTGATCAGTTTGTCACCACTGTAAATGTATTATATGCTTCAATAAACGATTATTCAATTGTCTAAAGTGACACTATCGTTATTGTTTATCAGTTCCATTATACAGAAGATTAACGATTTCCATAGTGAATTGCAAATGGCTGAAATTTAATTTCTAATAAGCTTAATGATAAATAAGCTTTCGTATTTGATATTATTCCACATGAATTTCATATGATTTGATTAGAAATAATTTAATATTCCTATAGCTATTAATACCATTTTCATTTATTTATATGCTAAGAGCAAAATTTTGTTGAGTGAATTATTCCTCAGTTAAAATTTTTGCTTGCTTATTTAAGACTTTTAAAAATGTTTCTATCACATTGTGGCTGGATAAAGTTGATATTGTGGCCTGCTGTAGCATTTCTTGGACCACCTTCTTTTTCTCGATCAATCATAAAACGTCGCTTCATAACTTTGACTTTTTTTTTCTCTTTTTCACTTTGCATAGACGCTTTTCTTGCCGTTTAAATTTAACTTTCAAAACTATTCCCACTGTTACTCTGAAAACTGTCTTTTTTACTGTTCACTCTTTTTTTGCAAAATTATTTCACAGTGATATATTTGTGGGACGACACGCACACACACACACATGCATACGCAGACATACACACACACGTACACGCACAGACACATACAAACACATACACACATACAACACAACACACACACACACACACACACACATATATATGCATATATTCTATGTGCGCTGTTGTGAAAAAATTTGTCATTGCGAAAAAAAAAAAACGTATCATTACTGTAATGAGTGTTGTCTAAAGTCTAAATATTTCAATGATTCATTTTGGAACATGCTCCATTTGGGTGATGATCAGGAAGTT